ACCCGCAACTGCTATGTCGCCTTTGGTCTCGGTGTGTTCCTCCATGGCATCCGTGGCCACCGCAGCCGTTGTGTCGCCCTTGGTCTCGGTGTGTTCCTCCATGGCATCCGTGGCCATGCCTGCATTACCACCTACAGAGTCCCCTCTTCTGTCTCTTATACACATCTAGATGTGTATAAGAGACAGGTGTGTGTGTGTGTGTGTGTGTGTGTGTGTGGTATCATATGTGAGGTGGGTCATTCTATGTGGACTGGATGGTCATATGTGGCTCGTGGGGTACAATGCGGGGTAGGTGGGTGATGCGAATTACATTAGGTGGTGCAGTATTGGGTATGTGTCTGATGCTATGTGGGCTGCTCTGTACCCACCCGTTCACCCCTCACTTCCTCACTTCCTCACTTCCTCACTTCCTCCCTACCCTGAAAAAGGAGAACCAAGGAGAACTTGTCCCCAAGAGGAGGAGCCCCCATGTACTTCATGTGTCTGAAGCCGTATTTATTCCATATGGATTCGTACTCAGGTCCATTTAATATATCGATTTGTTGGTGAGCGTACTGTTCAGTGACATACCCTGGATTTTTGCGTTTTTTTTTTCCTTTTTCGGAAACAAGCGGTTGCCCAAGGCAACTACCTCCATCTGTCACCTCTTCCCCCCCCCTGTTTTCTGCCACTTCGTCTCCATCCTGCTCCCCCGTATCCCTCCTCCTAGGCCACTTTGTGCTCCTCTGCTATACTGATCTCCCACCCCTCCTCCCCTGTCACGCCATTCTCCTTCCCCCTGCAGGGTGGTATAATGTGACCTCCTGAGTGATACGAAGTGGGTCGGCAGGCAGTATGTGGGGCAGGTCATACTATGTGGACGGAGGAGCATTATGTGGGCTGGGTGGTATCATGTGGCCCAGGCGTTACAGTGCAGGTCAGGTGGGGCTACGACGGATGGCACTGTTGGGTGCCTGTGCATGGACAATACTACCCCCCCCAAAAACAAAGAAGGAAAAAAAAAAAACAGCCATGGAATTGAATGTGTAGCATTGTGTACACTCAGCAACTGTTGATAAACAGACCAGCGCTCCTTGAAGGAGGTGAGGAGAGTAGCCCTCCTGAAGTGGCTCCCCCTTTGAAGGCTCCATCTATTGGTGGGGAGCTGGACCTGCGGGAAACCGTGGGTCCAGCGTCCCTCATATTACAAGGCATAACAATGACTAAGTTTCGAATGTTTGGAGAACTGACATGTATCGGTGGGATTTGCTGTCCTTCCTCTTTACTGGCCCCAGGCCCCATTGAGGTGTGGTGAGGGTAGGTGTACTGGAGTTGCGTTGGCGGGGCGTGGCGAGAGCTCTGTGTTTGCTGAAAACATAAGATGACGGGGTTGGTGGAAGCCGCTTTCGTAGAGAGTCTTTGCACAGCAAAAGTGTGGGCTCTCCCTCCTCGGCCCCTGTACCAAGGAGACTGTAGCCAGCGTTCCTGTCTGCTAGCGTGCTGCCCTTCTCGTCTGTTATTGTCTTGGGCGGCTTTCGACCATCTGATGCCCTCCCGGGCTCAACTCACAGAACCCAGTTCTTCTTCCAGGTTGAGGATGTTGGGCCGGGGTGATCTCACCTCGTGCAGTGCAGCTCCTGTCTGTCTGTCCTGCTCAGCTTGTTGATGTGGGTTCGATTCCCTGGCCAAATGCTGGAGGGGTAAGAGTCAGGGGGGGAAGCAGGTAGAGGGGGAGGAGGAGGGGG